TGGAAGGACTACAGAAGCAGCACCGAAGAAATCATAGGCACCACGCTCTCTCCCGAGAGCTTGATAGCCTGCATGCTCAGAAAAGAATAAAACTAGTCAGCTGTTGCAGCCTACGCGCAGCGTCTTCTAAAAAAAAAAAACCGCAGATAGGAACCAGTAACCAGAAGTAGGTCGTCGTGAGACGCAGCATGGACTGGATTGAAGTAATGCTTACGCGGTTCCGATTCAGTCATCTCCGTACCATCCACGGGAGAAGAGAGAGGAGTTTTTTTAGTGGGTAAAAATCCCACACTACCGACCATCATCTTTCAATGATAGTGGTGTCTTTGAAAGATTTTTTTCGCTTCTCTATAAGAAAAAAAAAACACACACACACACATGCATACATACATAGGGGTAAAAACAAGAACTTCCCGATTTTTAAAAATCTTTTTTCTTAGCGGGACGTTAAAAAAAACATCATGGAAGAGATATCCTCATTAGAATAGTCGGAACAGCAGCTCCTTTGGACCTCAAAATGTGAAGATCTGATAGCCCACAGAAATTAGTCAAATCGGCTGTGCCAACTGGAAATTGACCGAAAAATTATAATTTTTTGAAATTTCGATACCCAATAGGTTAATATGAAATTCTAACAAGTATCTAATGGCAGTCTCAATTTGTATATAAATAACAGGTAAACAAAAAAACGTAAATTAAAAATTAAATATCGCTGAAACTATTAATCTGGCGGGTTAAGTTTGCACATAAAATTTGTAGAGCTTGAAAAAATCTACAACTTTGCTTTTGGGTAAATTCCCGTCAGATTGATAGTTTATTAATTATTAACAATCGAAGATTTATAAACAAATTGAGCTAGCAAGCTGGAAAATCAACCGATTTTATTTTTGCTTTTTTCCACATATTTCTGGTAATAAAAGGAACATTTTTAAAAATTTTTATCTCAAAAATTTGATTTTTTAAAATCAAAAAACCGCTTTTTTTTAGAAGCCAATATCTCCGAAACTAAATTCACTACAGCGCTCGCACCTATTCTCGAAAATCTAGAATTTAATTGCGAAAAACTTGGCTATTTTGAAAAAAATTAATTTTCGATTGGGGTCAGATAATAGCGAGTTGAACGAGAGCGGATTTTCAATAAAGTGATCGCGTTCGCTACCCGGACTGATGGTAGAGAGGGAACTCAACAGTAGTGTTCAACTGATATCGGCTCCCCTAGCACGGTACAACTGCTTACTGTAATACAACAAGTCGATATCAGTTGAGCATTACTGTTGAGTTCCCTCTCTACTATTAGTCCGGGTAGCGAATGCGCTCGTTTTATCGAAAATCTGCTCGCATTCAACTCGCTATTATTTGACCCAAATCAAAAATTAATTTTTTTCAAAATAGCCAAGTTTTTCGCAATAACCCTGGGGGTTTCGGTAACACGATGAAAGCACAGTCGATTGACGGTTGTTTCACGGTCGTTTCACAGTCGTTTCACCGTATAAAGTCCGTTGTTACCGAGTGAGTTGTCAGTCTGCATCGGATACAGTTGTGAACGATTCACTGTGAATTAACAGAATATATACGGTGCAAACGCAAGTGAATCTACGATGTTATGACCCACACAGTACGCTCAATATACTGTCGAAATACGGTGATTTTACGCTACTGTCACGGACAATAAAATAAAAAAAAATACTTCGAACAGTCTAGACCGGGACTCGAACCCAGTTCATCTGGTCGCGCGCTCGAATCTTTACCAGTTAGGCTATCTGCGACGTTGCACGTAAGGTAGATTCAGTGACATGATAAGGTGTCAAAACCAAGTCATTTTTTTATCGTACAGATAAAAATAGCTTAAATAAAGTTATATTTTTTCTTGATAACCAAAATAATAATCGTAATAAATGATTCAAATTTTTGATGATTACGAAATTCTTGATTTCGAAATTACGGTGAAATTATTAACTGTATAAAAAAAAGATCTGGAAAAGAAATTGCTAAAAATTTAATTGCTAAAAAAAAGTATCTCATAATAATTTCTCTTGATAACAAATAATTTTTCCGTAA